TAAATTTATGAGAGGATTGCAAGAGTAAGTGCTCTTGCAAGCAGTGTCATAATCGAGAAAGACAGCCAGCTCAAAACAAAAGCTTCAGTCATTATCATTCCGTATCAGTAACAATAAAAAGTATTGAAACGGAACAATAAGGTGACCAATTACCAGAATGCAAGTCAAGCATCATAGTGATACAATAATCAACTAAAATAATCTGATATATGCAAAAGAAAGTAAATTCACTTCAATGATTCCAATTGGAAACGATAATATCACCTGTTTGATGGTGACTCAAATTAATGGAATCGACGAGTCCTCCTTTGGCTCTTGCTGACTAGTGAATGAGAGCTTTCAGCTTTCATTGAGCCAATAACTGCCCAATACTGTCCGAGAATTTAATTTCATCCGGCCAGATCACTTTTTAAACCGTCAAAATGTTCACTTCATGAGTTATCTTATCATTCCAAAAAAGCAAATTATCAGTTTTGAAACATGAAATGTATCACTTCATAACAATGTAATGAACTGTCAACCACCCTATCAACTAATCAATACAATTGCAGTTTGTCTGCGGTGCTGCTGAATGTGCTGGTGAATGGGCAATCTCAGAAAATTCTACGATCGCAACGAATTGGTGTCGAGGGTCAAATCCTCGCTAAACTCTTCTCGGACTACGACCAATTCACACGTCCACCAGTCAGGGGTTGTAACACTCATTTTCTAGACATTATTCCATTTATTGTTTGTTTTATAGATGGTGCGCAACATTCATCAATACTCGTCATTACTTCACTCTTCATCGATCACATCAAATGGCACCACGATCAGGCGGTTTGTTAATCGTTATGCTATCCTCCCTCATTCATTCAGTTCAATTCTCATTTTCTCAATTAGCTCACGATCAGTTAATTTGAGTCTCAGGTAATTCATCCACATTCATACATTGTATCACTATAGTCAATTGTATGCACTACTATAGGGCTATAGGCGTTACGATCTTCAAGGTACTGGTACTCTCAGGTTTACCCGGTAACATGTGAATTACTTTGCACCATAGGATTGCTCAGGATCTCTACTATCAGAATAATATATATTTTGTTGGGCAATTATGATCAGATGAGGAAATATAGCTGTTTTCTTGAAGCTACCTCAGTTAGCGCAGAGGCGCTCATTAACATACATTGTATCACTATAGTCAATTGTATACATTACTATAGGGATATAGGCGTTACGATCTTCAAAGTACCGGTACTCTCAGGTTTGCCCGGTAACATATGACTTTCTTTGCACAATAGGATTGCTCAGGATCTCAGCACATTGGCAAATCACTAACATAAGCAACTATTCATCTCAATTCTCATTAGCAAATCACTAACAATCACTACCGCTCAGATCACCTTTAAGCAGATAGGTTATCACCCTGCTTGCGGATTTATCAGGGATGATCATTCGCTAATATATCCATCTATTCATCCACAGTGCACACATAAGCAACCATAAGCCATTCGCAATAAAATTAACCGCAATAAAATTGTTGATTCACGATTAGCAATAGAATTACATATGCAAAACTATACAGATATAACCACACAAATCTGACTTTAACACAATTCCTAGATACTATAATTTACAACCGTATCAGTGCTGATTCTATCGTAATACATTGCACACATTCCGTTTGGCTTCTTGTCCATTAATTACAAACAGCAGATAATTTACTGCACCAGGTGGTTAAAGACCTACCGGTACGTGTTGGCTATTAAAGCTGCACACAAACTAAAAATAAATTGCTCATTAAATCGGAAATCGACTCGAGACTGCGATAAAAACTCGATAAAGTATCGCAGTTGCAGGACATAAATAAATGAATGAATTGTTGTGTTTAAGCAACCGTAAACCATTCGCAATAAAATTAGCCACAATATAAGCCACATGACATTGTATGCGATTAGAAAAAATCTTAATCACTGGAGTAGCAAACTCACTGGTTGGATTTCATCACCTAAGTCGTCCAATTAGCTTCCCAAGAACATGATGTTATGAACCTGCGATCAAAATCCTCGAAAAGGTATGGAAAGAATAGGAAAATGAATTCACGCTAACTTGCGATCATTATGAAAACTACAATGTATATCTCACCGTAAACGAAGACGAATCTCCATGAGTGGATAAGGTGATAAGGCATGAGATAAGCTAGCTCTTTTCACTCAGAAAGCTAGCCCATGATATCATGATAAGGACAGAACCTATCATGATAAGTTGCTATGATGGACTGAATAAGGATGAAAGTGATACATTAGACAATGTGAGAACAACTTGTTGATAGATGATATAATTTACAAGTTATTTGGTATTTATGCAGCTAATGCAATCGGAACAAAGAACACTATTGAAGGAAGTGAATATGTATCTACGACAGCAATGGCAAGATACAAGATTAGCTTATGAGGTTGATCAGCGCGAGGGCGTTGAAGAGGTCGTGCTACCGAGCAATCGGCAAATCTGGGAACCAGACACTTACTTCTCGAATGCTGAAGATATAAGACACGAACACCGACGACACACCGTCATTGAGCCGTCTGGACATGTGCGATGCTCGGAAATGTTTGTC